TGAAAACCTGGGATTACTCTTTCCAATTTGGAATGCATCTTCGCTTAAAACCCCATCGAGTAAAAAAAAAAGCCATTGGCTTATCGCCTCCAGTGCGAGATTTCAAGGGATTGCGCGCACGCGACATTGTACCGCACACTCCCGTGACGATCCTGTACGCCTTACGTGTGCAGTGGGGGCTCGTTGGGGGGGGCATCAGCAGTGAAAGGAGGGGGCCTGTGCCCCCCACCAAAAAAAACCCATTTGGGATCTGGATTCCTCATCAACTGAGCTAGGCAAGAGCCTGCTCACACGTGGGCCTACGATCTTGCCCGAGCGGGAGCCTCGCAACTCGCGGCACTAAAATCCTGCGGCGAAGATTAACAGCTTCCAACAGCTGTGACACCTGTCATCTTTAAACACAGAGCCCGCTCAGAATCGCGTTGCCCGTTCTGCCGGATTACGCCCACAGGCCAGACGGGGCGATGCCCCTCGAACGCGCTGACGGCGACCCGCCTCGCTCAGTCAACGGCCTCTCCCTTCGGAGCGGAGGGGTCTCTCCGCCATGAATGGAAGGCCCCCGACCGTAACGTCGCCCAGTTACCGTATTCCCCAGATTTGTAAGACGCTCCCCCAAAAATGGATAGATACGCCCCAAACTAGTGCCTCGGCATGAAGTTAATGAAAGTCAACAACAACCGCCACTTCACCATTAGACCTCCTTTGCCAGTACCAAAATATAATAATAGGGTTTTTCCCCTTTTTTCTGGCAACAAAACTGAAACCTTTTTACAGGGATTCATGTCTTTTGGCGTCCTCTGGTCGGGCAACAATTGGGTCGAGGCTCAAAAGAAAGCCGTCCCTTGGTGTGGACCAATCAGTTTCAAGGACAATGCAAATATTATCATAGTGTGTTTTGTTTGCATTTCGACTGCAAGTATTGTGGTTAATGTAGACATGAATCCTTGTAAAAAGGTTTCAGTTTTGTTGCCAGAACAAAGGGGAAAAAGCATATTATAATAACAGCCACTGTTTGCCACTGAGTGGCGGTCACTTCACCACAGCGTTTGTGCCAGGCCAGGTGCACCTTCAAGACAAAGATCCCCCGTATAGCCTTAACATACTGTTGGGGCAAGTTCTGTTTGCAAGCACCTATGAAGGCCGGCACGGCACACGAAGGGGTGGGTGGCCAGTACCATGCATGATCGCCTTTGTCTTCACAGTTGCGATGTTTACACACCCCACCAGGTACCCATTTGAGGCTGAGTCGATCTAGGGGAGGCCCAGGACCGGTTCAAATAATCGTCACTGGTATTAGCCGTGAGCGGGAATCTAACTCGGGTGGCCAGGTTCATAGTGCAACGTGCCTTCCGCGATACTACCGCTCCCCATCTACACATCTATGGCCACACACCTAACGGATTATAAGATATGCTCCCCAACTTCTGCTTTAAAATACAGGGGGGAGGAGGGCCGGGGGAACGTGAAGTCTTATCGTTAGAATACGGTATGTCATAATCGCTCGTTGGGGCAGTGATATTGACGAACGTGCCGAGTTATAGTTATCTCTGCAGTGTACCACTGCCAACGCAGTATCACATTTTCATTTGCCTCCTACGAAATCGATAATTATTAACTCAAGTGCCGCACCAATAACCCTTCTGCACCAATATTTGTCATTGCATCTCTGTAGATATGTATGAAGCTGGCAATTATGACGTTGTTGTTCGGCTACAGACGTCCCAGAGAGACGGGATGGAGTGGTGATGCAGTGGTGAGCGCATTGCGCTATGAACCCGGAGAATTGAGTTTGATTTCAAACCACAACTGACATCAGTAACCTGCGACATCTGAACCAGTCCTGGGCCCTCCTTTCAACAACCTACAATGACCACGATGGTGAAGTATGGTCAAACACCCCCCCCCCCCATGAGTGACATGGTGCGGTAAGGTCTTAACCCAACAGCGGATTGACAAAGGGCTGTAAAGAATACATTTATCTAGCTGCAGCATGTCCAACCAAAGCATATGATATGATATCTAGAATTGGTCAAATCCAGCCTGCTTAAAAGGCATCCTTGCATGCTGAAGAGGAGCCCAATGTCAAAATTTACAACTCTTACACACACACACCCATGCTCTCCGACACTCACAAAGTAAATAACCACTTTACATCATAAAGCTGTCATCCCGTTTCAACAGCAGCTGTCCAGAGTACGAGCGTGGCAGGTCAAGCCCTCTTCACTCCCACACAGTGGTTGAGGCCTGTTTAGTTTCCTAAACCTCACGGGGGTGCAGATCTTGGGTCACGGGGGACGTCTGCAGTGCCAGGCAGCCACGGGAGTGAAGTCTGTCACGTGTCGACGTGTGTGCGTGTGCGGTGCTAAAAACACGACCTCTCCGTGCGCTGGGCAGGCCCTCGTATTTTCTCCCTAACAACACTTGCCCGCAACAATCTGTTGAGGCTGTACAGGGGATCTTTGCCTTTGTGTGTTTGCTCAACGGGGTATTGTGGCGCAGTGGTTAGCGCACTGCGCAATGCACCAGGCGACCCGAGTTCGATTACGTTTCGTTGGTAATTACATCCAGCATCATCGGGCAACGTCGTATTAAAAAAATGGTAAATGTTGTGGATTCACTCTTCAACACACCGGTAGGCTAAAGTAGTGAACTATTTGTCTTTTGTCAACGTGACACTTTTTTTACTCATTGGCCGTGTCGGGTGGTGGAGGGTTACGACACATTTATAAATAACGCGATCAAACCCAAACAAGTTTATTATGAATAGTATTGGTCGCGAAAGCCTACGTGTTAAATTGAGGCGTATTATCATACTAAAATTTGTTATTATTATCAAATGATTCCTCTGTCATGTAACACTGTATTTGCCTCAGTGATTTTCAGTGAATTCACTTCATGCAACTGACAGCACAGTGGGGGCGGCTACAAGCCGTGGCGCTTGGCCCTTCGGCTGAAGATGAGAGTCGCTCACCAAGCCATTGCTGGGAATCTCTCTGACCCAACAATGCTCTTGCCCTGTTAAACGGCAACACCTTAACCGGTAGAGCCATTAAAAAAAAAACCCCCACGAATGAACCTGCTCCTTGCCGTTCCACTACTTGGCCCCTGCTGGCCGATACGTCCGGAATATTCCGTACACAAAGACCAACTTGAAAACGCGCGCTGCATTTAAATGTAAACATAACAAAAACAGAGCAGTCTGGAGCAACGCGATCCAGGGTCAACAAGAGAGACCCCCCCCCCCAAATGAAACGTTTTAGTCTTTCTGTTGTGGTTTTAAGACGCGCGATCGCTCGCCAACCAGGGAGCACTCCCCAGGTTGACCGGCGTCGCGGCCGCAGGGCGGATGAAGCGGCTCTACAGCGCAGGCCAAGGTCGCGCGCAATCAAACGCCGAGGAGGAGCCGCTCCGTTTGAAATGCGGATGGTGACACTTTCATCAGCGCAGCTGCCATGGGAACCGCCCCCGCCGGCGTCATATCGACGATGAATGCCGCACATCTCGGCTCAATATCTGTTCCACTCCCCGAGCTTGGTGTAGCGGCGGCAGTGGTTAGCAGCGCACCGCTCGGGTGTGTTCGCCGTTTACCCGCCGTGGCTAACATTGCTGGTGAGCGATATCAGAACTAGTTCTGGGTATGCCAGCCTTCAGCAATCGACACTGGCGAACGTTGAAAAGTATGGCCAACCAACCCCAAATAACGTGCATGGCGTGAGGAGGTCTTCATCCAACAGTGGATTGACAAAATGCTGTAAATTACGTTATTACCATATTACATTACTTACTCGCAATGTACCGACTCACTGCCCACCCTCATACCCCACACCCCGTCCCGTCGATGAATCGTTGCGATTTCATTCGCAGCCGTCTCATCCGCAGTCTTATTTATGTTATTGATTGTTTGCTTTGCCTCGCTTGTACAGTTTGATTCACTCCTTCAGCCCAAATGTAACAGGAGCGGAGGGTATTGCAGTAAACGTGTGTGAACGACTCTCAAACAGATGGTTCAATGCGCGTCTTCGTGAACGCAATCATCCCATTTGTAAATCTACGATGCACCACTTCTTGCCTATGACTTCTGTGAAATAAATGAGCCAGAAAAAAGCAGTTTACAATGATTATATAAAGGTGAAAATAAATTGTCTCCCCGCTATTGGTGACCATCACATTGAATCTTTATACGATCCGGTCTCGTTTTACAATATCACTCGCCACTCACTCATTACAGGGGCTCTTTTATCAACGATACCTGCAGTTATAACTTTGGAGTGCGACGTGTGTCGAATTTAAAGTTGCAACCTTTGATTTTCTATTTAAAATTGAAAAAGCAAGCAGGTGGAAGTAGTAATCGCATTTTGTGTAAAAGCCAAACTGGGCACGACACACACACGTGTGTTGCTGATGCACCTGTCGAAAGGTATCAGCCCTTTAACAAATCTCACCCTGCCGCCACCCATACAGTGATTGTATATTCGATGAATTTGCGGTTGCCATTACATTCAATAAGCTAAAGAGTTTCGTCCAACCCATTAAATAGCCATGTGATACCCTAATACGTATAATTTTAATCAAACATAGAATTGTTGTTTTGACACGCACTATTCTATGCATGTATCGTGAGCGTGAGAATCCATTTGAATCCACACTGATCATGCGTAGCCAGTGTAGAGCGCTGGGCTGGAATAAACATTGGGATGTAAAGCATCTGGAGATGCAGTTGCAGTTAGGGCTCCGTAAAAATTCGAACCGTATTTTAAGCAGCGGCGTAGCGCGGCTGGCATGGACCCTGGAATGAAAAGGGGGGCCCACTATTCAACTCTCCACCCTCTTTACAGCCCGGAGCCAGGACCCCTTCCCCAACCCAGGGGCCCCAGTGCAGTTTCATCGCCTGCACACCAAAACCATGGAAGTGCCCACCTCGTAGCCACGGACTGAAAGCAATGAAGGGGAATCTTAAAAGCTCCGTGTAAAAAAATATATATATATGGTGTGCGAGTTACCCTCAGAGGTGGTGCTGAAGTCACCCGTGCCATCGACGCTCGCACCCCCCAGGGACTCGGCGTGCCGAGCAGCGGCGTAGACGCGGCCGTCTGGATCCGCGTTGGGTTTTTCCGGAACCCTCTCGGCGTCGCCATCCGCACCTCCAGCGCCGGCGAACCAGAGGTGCGATCCCGAGTCCCTGAGGCCCAGGAAGCCACTGAAGAACCTTCTGAATTTGTGCTGGTCCTCGGAAATGCCCGCGGAAGCGGCGCTCGCGTTGCGCCTGCCTGCCAAATCCTTCCCATCTAAGTCGGCGGAGGCGGATTTTGGCGTCGCTCTCACTTTGGCGGAGTGGCCGCGGTGGTGCTGGTTGTGGTGCAGCAGGAGCAGCAGCAGCCCGTCCGCCTTGCTCATCACCTCGCCGACGTCGACGGTTTTTCGCTTGTCCCGCAAACGCTCGGAACTCAGGCCCGTTCGCTCACAACGCTCGTCACCGCCCTCGGCGGTTTTCTCCGCCGAGCTCGATTCCCCGTCAGCTTTACTCAGAATGTCTGCGTGCAGCCGATTTTTGGCCTCCCTGCTGCCCAGCAGCCGAAAGCTAAAACTTTTCCGCGGCTTGTTCACGCACGGCTTTGAGGTGGCGGCGAGGAATTTGATTCTGCCGTTCTCGTGCTGGCTGGTGACGCAAGCGTGGCACTTGCCGCACGCCTCCCTCTCCGTGCCCCCGGGGGACGACCGCTCGCCTATCACCTGCCTCGACCCCCGACCAAAGGGACTGAAAAACACCATGCTCGCCGGCCTCCGTTGCCTTCCTGGCAAAGCGCTCCTCGCAGGCAGATCCCTCGCGCATTTCACAGAAACGCCGTCGTCTGGTGAATTCCGAGGGGCAAACGCGGAGCGGGTCCTGCGCTTCACGTGTGCGTGTTTGTCTTCCGTGATCGCGCCGTGCGGGGAATCGAACGGAGACTTGGAGAGCTCGCCGTCGAACTGTGTCTTTGGCTGCAGAGGTATAAAACCGTCTAATGTTTCCAAGACGCAATCGCAATCGGTGGGGGGCATGCGGTTCGTTGTTGGGTCAATAAGGAGTCGAGAGTGGTTCACGGCCGCGTGACCAATGCCGTGGCCGTTGAGCTCCAAGAGCGACTCACTGTCTCTCGTGCACGGTAAGCACACCTCATCTGTACGTGGACAAGGTGGCTGAGACTGCGAATTAAACACATCGCCTCGATCCAGTGCCTCCACCTTCTCACCATTCAAGAATAACACAGGGGCCCATGCATCAACAATTAGATCGCTCATCTCAACGTCTCCCTTGATTATATTCGTGACCCCAACATTTGTCGCTTCACATTCCCGTCCCTCCCCTTTGCTGCGCGCAAATGCAGACGACATCTCACGATCTGCAGCATCAGCCCCGTTGGACTCGGCCGAGTGGCGCAACAGAGGCTGCTCCGAGCCCTTCACCACCCTCGCGCAAACTTCCGCTTGCGCGCCCGTCTCGCATCCGGCACGATGGAGGACGACGCGCACGCCATCGGCGGCGACATCGTCGCCGTTGTTATCGCGTCCTGGCCGAGGCGTTTGCAGCAGCGTGCCCGCATTGCCTTCTGGGAGCGCGTCCGAGCTCTCGTCTGGCTCGCTGGCGCTGTCCACTTCTGCGCTGCCGCTCTCCAAACCAGCGTCGTCCGCACGCCGCCCGCCGCCGGCCGCGCGGGGCGAACGATCGGACGTGGAGTTTGCAAAGACGCGACAGGGCCGCTCTTTTCTCAATGTCGCTTCTCCGATCTCATCGGGCCGCGGAGCGTGGCCTGTGTCTATACAGATCTGGGGGATGTTCAAGACGCAGTCCCGCCCATCTACTGCTGCCCCCTTTTGGCGATTGAACGAGTGGAACCCATGGCAATTCACAATTTGTTGGCGAGGTGTCGGTGCCAACGATTCTCCGTTAGTGGTGAAGCACTCAGCAGGAAAAACTCCTGAAGGTGGCACCTTCCATGCAGATGTCACTTCGTGTCTGTCGCTTTCATCCGCAGTGTGGATATTTTGGTTTGGCAATTTCCCAAGAGTTTTCGTTGATTTGTCACCAGAATGTCCATAACTGCGAGACATCCCACATTCACCTTCTTCACCATTAGCAGTTCTACATTTACCGGCAGTGCCATTGCTATAAGCACAGACTCGTGTCACTTTATCGTCCAAATCGTTCTCCTCTGTCAACGTCCCAACGCAGACCCCGTTTGAGAGCTGTTTACATTCTCCGCCGCCGTCTGGTTTAATCGCACGCTCCGCTCTTGCTCTTTCAGCAACCGTGGCCACCGGATACCTCCCAACACCATCACACCTCTCCACCTTAGTCTCTCCAATTTCCACACCGTCCACGGCCTCGGCAGCAGCGGCAGCAACAGCAGCTGCTCCTGCAAAAATGTCTCCCTCTCTCGTGCTCTCATGCAGGCACTCTCTCTTCACCAAGGTCAGGCGAATGCAAAAGACGGTCTTCCTCTTGTGCGACGCCGGCTGCGGTCGCAGAGCTCTGGAGCCACCGCAGTTCAGCACAGCTGCACGGTCCGGCCCTTGCACATCCATAACGTCCTTCGTCACGATCCCCTGCGATGACGGTCGTTGCTGTCGTGGTTGTCGGGCGCATCAGCGGGCGCACGCCGTTACGGCACACGCGTGACACCTGTTGTGGCTGGGACGCCAAACACCGTCCGGTGACACGTCTGCAGGTCCGGGCATCCTTTTTTTTGATGACCAACTTATTGAAGCGAATTTGATTTGTCTTAGGCCAGCGTTTGTCTCAGTGCTACAGCTAATGTAAAATTAAAACAAATTCATGACACCGCTACCGTGTGTTTTCAAGAACACATTTAGGATTATGCATTTTAAACACGTAAAGCGGCGAACTCAAAACCGCTGCTCCTTGTCCCGACCAACGCGGCCTGCAGCAAACGCCACAAACGCGACGGCCGTCCGAGCTGAAGATGGCCCGAGCAGAGTAAAGGCAACGAAACAAACAAGCACGCATGCCGCTCGAGTCACGTACTCCAAAGAACTTTCTCTCAAGAGACATTCACCGGTAACGTGCTGCTCCGGCGGGCCGGTGACCAGGATAAAACGACGCGACTCGGGAGCACCGGCTGCGGAGTCTCCGACGCGAGGATTCGCAACGATCTCGCTTCGCCCCCAGCCGAGCAACGGAGCTCCCTGCCTCGCTGGCGCCGCGAGCCGTCTGTGCGAGACACACTCGCTACACCACCCCCCCCCACACACACAGCCGCACGCCACCCACCCTCTCCAGCAGCCGCGCGTTGGGGCTGTGTTGCGGTTGTGTTTTTTTTTTACCTTACACGCTCCACACCCCCTCCTCCTCCCATGCCGCACGGTCACGGCGGCGCGCGTGACGGTCTCTGCCGGGGGTGGGGGTGCGTGCACGGTTACGCGGCTCAGCCGTCTCGCTCTAATGGAACCAACGCGAGAGCTCTCGTCCTGGCGACGACGGCTCGTCACTCACGGCGGCGACGGTTGCTGCTGCTGCTGCTGCTGCAGTAGCGCCGGGGTTGCGGCGGCGGCGGCGGCGGCCCGTGGCGCCGCGACGATCAGAGAAGCGGACGGATTCCCCTCGTCGACGGGCAATTTGCTTCGAGCGTTTGCGAGCCCCGCGGGCGCTGCCGGTAAAATACGCGCGTGGGAGCACGAGGCGCGGCCGGCACGGAGCCTGCCCGCGTTCGCCGGTGCCTCCGAGCGGGAGCCCGAGACGTCAAAGGGCATTAAAATAAAATACTTAAAACCATTATATAGGGAGGGGAAAGGACAACATTTCAAAGAAATGTATCAATCGCTCGACTCGCAGCCGCGCATTGCAATCCCGCACCGAGCCGGAGTGAAATCCCATCTCAATGCTTGCGGATGATCGCGATTGGGATGGTGGGTGGGTATGAACCGGGATTAACCATGTGCGCTCGCTATGGGAGGGAAATATATTTAAAGCCAAGCGTTCAGGAGAAAAAGTGTACGTCCAAAAACACAACAACCATCACTCATTTTCGATCGCTCGGCGCGAAGCGCATCGTACAGCATCGCTTCGATGGCCGCCGACCGCCGTCTGTGACCCGACATCTGCCAAGAGCAGCGAGATCCCCAATTCACTCTCACTTGGACTCTCCCAGCTCAGTGCTTGTGTTGGACATCCCGTGGGGAGCTGGCCGGCAGTGAGCGCGCTGATAAAAGGCGACAGAAGCCCCCCACCCCCAGCACGTGATAAATGCGCACCGCAATCTGTGTCGACAAACCTCACTCTCACGTGCTCTGCACTGCCAAGAGGAAGGGGCTGGGGGGAAGAGAGACCCCACGGTTTCCTGTGTGGGCAATTCTGGGTGACCGTGTTGTTGTTTAGCGACTCGGCTCGGCTCAGAGCGACGCTGTCACAACACGTGTGGGACATCTGGTAGCCCGATAAGCAAAATAGATTATGTAAAGCGTACGCGTGTGTGCGTGTGCGTGCGTGTACACACGAGCGCGTACACTTTGCAAATCCACAGCAAATTACACACATATAGGGACTGCATAATTTACATGCATGTGTGTATATACAGTCATGATAATCGAGTGGATGAATCCGATGAGCTATGAAGCTCTTTATCACAGATGTCCGGTATTCACAGATGTTCAGTACGAGAAAAGATGATGGCCAGTGGTTAAGAATCTCGAGCTGGAGCGAGGAAACCAGCTTGTGTGCAGGCGCCGGATGGGTTGTTGCATGCCTGCATGCAGCAGCGGAGAGAGCATGCCTAATTAGGATGGTGAATGCAGAAAAGCCTCAATACCCGTTTTATTGCATTTGGATGTTTAATTCAATTCTGCTCAAGTGTTCTGCACGATGAAGAAAGCCAGAGCACGGCCGGAGAAAATAAAAACCCAAACCAGATAACGGCACCGAGAGGTCCGCAACAATTTGTTTTTGTGAATCCATCTGCTGGGCCACTATCTCCTCCTGGCCGTCCCAGAGTTCGAAGGGTTTGAGATTTTCGCAAATCTGCGTGAGCCACCAACGTTGTTTCCCAACTACCAGATTATATGCGTGCGCAACCACGCCTGACTACGGCATTGCTGTTATTCAACACCAGTTTATACACGTATGAAGAAATGAATAAAGCCACATGGGGTTGCTTTCTTCCACATCGTAAGCATGATCATAACGAAGTGATACGACTCGTGTATTTTTTTGTTTTTGTTATGAGAGAAACACGTGACTCTAATAACAAAGATAATGCAATCGCAACAAATGCCACCCACCCCCCTCTGCCCCCACCACCACCACCCTCCACCCACAGGTAATTAAATCACGACGAGTGACATGAAAAGGATTTATCCCTGAAGGGGGCACGATCGGAGCCATACCGGGTCGGCGCTGACCCTTGCAAATAAACGCCGACGGGAGCTCGAGCCAATGGCTTCCAGATTTTTCAGCCCCTGGCCGCCCTGTGCGAGTAGCGTACTCCATTCCCCCGCGTAGGCGCCCCACAATTTCAGCCCGAGCCTCCTTACCCTGTCCCCCCCGCCCGCCCGCCCCCGGCTGCTGTCATGGGAAATATTTGTGTTTGCCTTCTCTGAGCGTGGTTTTTCTGTGGAACAAACATTTCTGCTGGAGGCTCCAGTGATCCCAGCGTGGGTGCTTTCGAGAAGCCATCCCAGATGTGGCCTCCGCACCACAGAGGAGCCACCACCCCCCCCCGCGCTCCCCTCTCGATGGAAGTCCGTAGGCTCTGGGGCCGCGATTTGCTTCTTGCACGATGGAAGAAACAACGACAAAAACCCACGGGGCAGCGGCAGAAACCCACGCCCCTTCCGGCACGTTCCTCGTGTCGGCAGCTGCGGGGCCACGTAGTCGTCAGAGGGGTCGGTGCAAGAAAATCCATTGTTGTGCTGTACTACGCTCCAACGACTATGCTCTCTCTTTCTCCCAGAAGCAACAATCCATTGTTGTGCTGTACTACGCTCCAACGACGATGCTGTCTCTCACTCTTCTCACGGTTTTAGGCCGAGTATGATGCCGGTGGGGACGATGCATCGATTCGTCGATTGTTACGCTCGTTTTTTTAATGCGTCGAATTGCGTGCACGAATTGACGTTTTAATGCGCATGTGGTTGCTTTATGTCACCCCTGCAGCCACTGGAGGCACTAATATTCACAGCAATGTAAAAATAATGGATACATTCTTGGATTAGCCACCCAGAATCGTTAACGCTTCATAAAAAATCAGGAGCGGAAGAATTGTTGCACCAGTATTGAGCGATAGAATGAACGCGCTATATTAAACATTGTATCGAAATTAACAATCAATCATTTACCACCCTTTGCCTATCCACGAATCGATGGTCTCCCAAGGCTTTGTCGGTTGAGGAGGTTGCCGGACTATACTTCACCACACTGGTCAGCAAGGGTTGATCACAGAGTGGTGGCCGGGACTGGTTCGGACATCACTCGCCACTTCTGTTAGGCACGGCCGGGAATTCAACTCGTGTCACCGAGTTCACAGCTAATTGCTCTAACCACTGGGAAACCGTTCCCCAAGTAATGCATTTAAAAGAACACAAATGGCACTGAGAATAAAAGGGGTTTGGTATGGGAATTGGGTTGGTCGTGGGAGAGCGTGAGAGAGAGAAAAAAGTTGCACTTTTGGAGGAAGCAGTCCAAGCAATAACCCAAACAACGTGTACAGCTCTGCTCTTGTTCAGCAGCGACATTCCTGACGTGTAACTCGAGCGAAGCTCCAGGGCAGCTAAGTCATGGAAGGACATCTTGAAGGTATGTGCTTGTCCAAGTGTCCCCTAACTTGGGCCAAACGATGATGTTGAAATGGAAATCGACGCCGATTATTATTTTTCTTCTTTTTAAATAGAGGATCTGACATTTTTCGAAAATGACTACTACTGAATTCAGCGGAGCTGTGGTGCAGTGATTAGTGCACTGCACGAGGAATTTGGTGACCTAAGTTTGATTCCTGGCCACGGCTAACATATCTGAACCGGTCCTGGGCACCCCCTTCACCAACCAACAAAGACCAGCGTGGTAAAGTATGGTCAAAATCTACCCATGACTGATTCGGCATGGAGAGACGTCCGCACGGCAATGTTTAAATTAAGGGCTGTATAACATTTTTATTATTATAATTACTAGGCATTCATAACAAGAAGCACATTTGCGAATATAGGCTGGGGCATTCATGCAAACCATCACTCTTGAGCCACGATGTTCCAACTGCGCGAGGACTGCAACACGGTCATAACTTCTCAAACGCCAGGAAGAAATCTTCCCACCAACCATCACCCACATCCGGTGGCTCAATGATTCGCAAAAAAAATTGCGGTGAATATTTAATTGAAGAATTGTGCACGTTTTATTGTGCACGTTTTTAGAGCTTTGTAACGTTTCCCTTTCTCATGTATTGTTTGGATGTGTGTATTCATCCCATTTGCCTCAGTGTGACGTAAGGAAAGGTAAAAGTGCAGCCCTGCGATTGCTCGCTCACACCACTGCTGGCCTCCACCAGAGGGAGCTCGAGAGAGCCCCTCCACAGGGTATTCGGCCTGCTCTTCCACACTGTCCAGATATCTTGGCAGTAGTGGGAGGACCCACACTTTACCCCGGCCACACACGACCTGCCGATCGACTGACGGTGGTCTACTCATTCACACTACTGGGCAGACAGAGGCGGGGGGGGGGGGTGGAATTTAAGAAATGTGTATATAATTGGCTCAACATGCAAATTATCAATTGCCACACATAAATGCTGTATCGTGAGCGTAAGAATCGACTTTAATTGGAGGATCCATGCATGGTTACGTGCCTGGGCAGTTCAAAGACTGCAGCCAACTCCACACACCACAGCTACGCCACTGATCCACACCATTAAAATGTTCTCGAGCAATACGTCTGAAATGTGAAAATGCCCACCTGGTAATTACGTGTATTAAACGTTTTGCGCCACCCCCCCTCACCACTTCCCCGTGATCCGTGGATACAACAAATCAGCGGAGACGCCGGTGTATGGCAGCAAGAGCAGTTTGATATGCGAATGCCGTCGCGAGAGGTCACACGTTTGGCGCAACGGTCTCTTCGCCGACGACGCGTGATGAATGAATGAATAATTGCGTATCCTCTTTGCAAGTGGCGCAGCTGTCAAGTGGGCAGGCGAGAACTGCACCTGGACCAACGGCCCGGACCGGGCCCGGGCCGTTGATTGGAATACGCTGAGGGGGGTGTGCGGGTGGCGAAGCCGAGAGGGTTCCGGAAAAAAAACCTAGCGCGGATCGCAGACGGCCGCGTCTCCTCC